CGGGGTTCTAGGAGTGAGAAGGATTGTGGGACTTCTTTATTCCTATCCCTGCAAGAGCTGAGGGGCTCTCACTGGCTGGATGTTTGGGGTGGGTATGAGAGGAGAGCATGGCACAAGGCAAGGAAATATAAAGTAAGCTCAGTCATTCTATGTTTGTTGAGCACTCGCTATGCATCGCTATGCATCTGGCACAGTGTTAAACGTGAAGCAGTTGGAGTGCAAAGAAGCATAAGAGCGTCTCTGTCCTGGAAAACTTGCCAAAGCTGCCTGGAGACAGAGATGTGGTGCTAAAGCAACATGTGTGCTAGGACAGTGGCCCCCAAAGAAGACATGGGGAGGGATGTGTTTCCATTCCTGCAGGCAGCATTGTCCCATCTGCATGGCACCATTGGTGTGAGCGTGGGTCTTCCCTGAGTGCTTTTCCTGAGGGAGACCTGAGATGGGGGAGGTGCTTGAAGGGTGGAACCTGGGTGTTCTGTTCCAGGTTTTGGATTCCTGGAAGCGCATAGTTTCAGCACTGAATGAATGGGAACCATGAACAGAACTGCCCTACATATACAAAGGTGACAAGGCTTGTGGACCAGCCCACCAATGCCCATAGAGCTAGTAACAGACCCCAGCCATTGCACAGTGTGTCTGTGTCTCATCTTAAGGCTGTAATATTTAAACTACAGACAAGTACACTTACTTAATGATGGAGACATATTCTGAGAAATGCAATAGTAGGCAATTTCATCATTGTGTGAACATCATAGAGTGCACCTACACAAACCTCGATGGTATGGCCTATTACACACCTGGGCTGCATGGTATAGTCTATAGCTCCTAGGCTACAAACCTGTACAGCATGTTACTGCACTGAATACTGTAGGCAATTGTAACTCAATGGTATGTATTTGTAGTATATGTAAACATAGAAAAGGTACAGTAAAAATACTGCATAAGGCCAGGCGCGGTGGCTCATGCCTGTAATCCCACCACTTTGGGAGGCCAAGACGGGTGGATCATGAGGTCAGGATTTCAAGATCAGCTTGACCAACATGGTGAAACCTTGTCTTTACTAAAAATACAAAAAATGAGCTGGGCGTGGTGGCGGGTGCCTGTAATCTCAGCTACTTGGGAGCCTGAGGCAGGAAAATCGCTTGAACCAGGGAGGCAGAGGTTGCAGTGAGCCAAGATTGCACCACTGCACTCTAGCCCAGGCGACAGTGCAAGAGTCCTTCTCAAAAAAAACAAACAAAAAAAACTGCATAAATGATTTGTAAAAATGGTACACCTCTATAGTGCGCTTACCATGAATGAAGCTCGCAGGACTGGAGGTTGCTTGGGTAGGTGAGTGAGTGGTGAGTGGTGATGGGCTGGGACGTTGCTGTACACTACCGTAGACTTTGTAAACTTAGTCCACTAAATTTATTTTTCAAATTTTCTTTCTTCATAATAAATTAACCTTATCTTAGAATAACATTTTTACTTTACAAACTCTTATATCTTTAAAACTTCTGGACTCTGTTGTAATAACGGCTTAAAACACATTGTACAGCTGTACAAAAATATTTTCTTTCTTTATATCCTTAATCTATAATAGTTTTCTATTAATTTTTAAAAACTCATAACACATTTTTGTTAAAAATGAAGACACACACACATGAGCCTAGGCCTGCACAGGGTCAGGATCATCAGCGTCACTGTCTTCCACCTCCACATCTTGTCCCACTGGAAGGTCTTCGGGGCAATAACACACATGGAGCTGTCATCTCCTATGACAACAATGCCTTCTTCTAGATACCTCCTAAGGACCTGCCTGAGGCTGTTCTACAGTTAGCTTTATTTTTATTTTTGAGATGGAGTCTTGCTCTTGTCGCCCAGGCTGGAGTGCAGTGGCGCAATCTCAGCTTACTGCAACCTCTGCCTCCTGGTTCAAGCTTCTTCTGCCTCAGCCCCCTGAGTACCTGGGATTATAGGCGCCTGCCACCATGCCTGGCTAATTTTTGTACTTTTAGTAGAGATGGGGTTTCACCATGTTGGCCAGGCTGGTCTTGAACTCCTGACCTCAGGCAATCTGCTCGGCTCGGTCTCCCAACCTGCTGGGATTATAGGTGTGAGCCACCGTGCCTGGCCTATTTTTTTGTAATAAGTAGAAGGAGTTTACTCTAAGGTGACTAGTAAATACACACACCAGTAACAGAGTCATTTATTATCATGATAAGTATTATGTACTGTACATAACCATATGTGCTAGATTTTCACATGACTACGAGTGCAGTAGGTTTGTTTTCACCAGCATCTCCCAAACACATGAGTAATGTGTTACACTATGATGTTACAACAGCTAGAACGTTACTAGTCTATAGGAATGGTTCAGCTCCATTATCATCTTATGGGACCCCCATTGTGTATGAAGTTCATGGTTGACGGAAATGTCGTTATGAAGTGCATGACTATATGTTACAGATTATGTAAGGGTAACTGGGTTCCACGTTCCAAGTCAAAAAAGGTCTGGAACACAACTCCTTTGCTAGCAAAGTAGACACAGCAGCTCGTTCCCAGGGAAGTCCCCTGAAATACGTGAAGGGCCTGAATCACTGCTGAGCCAGACAGCATGGAGGAGAAGGCTCCAGTCTCATGGGAAGCTGGAGTGGGGCCTGCCCTAGAGACTCCGACCCTGCCTGAGGGCCCCATTTATCCCACCTGGCTGAGACCTTGGTGGATCCAGGACAGCTCAGATGCTGGAAGTCCGGGGACAAGAGAGCCAGGGGCCGCAGAGTCCTACCCAGCCTCATGCGATTCTGGCCCAGCTATGTATCTGGTACTAGAGCCATGAGCTTTTGGAGGAAGATGGGAATTGACACATGGGCAGCAGCCTGTGGCAATGGCAGAAGCAACCTCGGGGCTGGAAACAGAAGCTGTAATTATAGGAGAAAACACCCACAACAAATTCTGAAAGATGACCCTTTTGCTCCCTAGAACCAGGAAGGGGAAAGAAGGGGAAGCATGTTACCCTGGTAAAAACAGAGCAACGTGAAAGATGCTGTGCAGTCAGGCTGAAAATTAAACAGATGTGTTTCTTTAATTCAAAAGTTTAATTATTCTGATGTTTTCCATAACTTAATCTGAGCCATCACTTCGACTTTAATTATACATAATGAAATGGATTATTTACAGTAACTCACGTGACAGGAAAAACTGAGACGTGAGAATTGGTAGCTTGGCAACTGTTTTTAATTTCTCTTTTTATTTGGCCAATGTATATTGAGTACCTACTATGTTTCAGGCCTTGCCAGGGTCCTGTTAGTAAAAATATTGTGGCTCATGCCTGTACTTTAAACACTTGGAGAGGCCAAGGTAGGAGAATCACTTGAGCCCAGAAGTTTGAGACCAGTTTGGGCAACATAGGGAGACCCCCTCTCTACAAAAAATATAAATTAAAAATTAACCTGGTATGGTGGTGCATGCCTGTGGTCTCAGCTACTCCAGAGGCTGAGGTGGGCGGATTGCTTTAGCCCAGGAGATTGAGGCTGCAATGTGCTGTGATCACGCCACCGCCCTCCAGCCTGGGAGACAGAGTGAGAGTGAGATCCTGTCTCAAAAAAAAAAAAAAAAGTATTGTTAAAATACATAGTATGGGCTAGTTTCTTTCACTTCTTTCTCCTGTGTATTGCTCTCGATGATACCATGATACCATGTAGCAGGAATTATTTTCCCTGATTTATATAAGTGAGTGGAACTGAGATTCTGAAAGGCTAGGTAAATTGTCTAAGGTCACTCAGCAAAACTCCATTTTGTTTTGTTTTTTACCATCTATGTGCTTCAAACAGAGACCTATGGACCAACTTTCCTAATCTTACTACCTTTCTTTCACGCTTTATACAGGAAAAGTCAACTTTTCCTAAGGGAAACGTTGTTCATTATTTTGAGCAGGAAAGTAAATGACCAAAATTGCACTTTGGGGAAATTAACGTAAGCTTCTGTAGGATGCACTGGGGGCCATAACCCAGGCCAGAGGCAAAGACCTTAAGCCAGGGGAGTAGCCACAAACCTGGGAAGGGGACCAGCAGGAGGCACTTGGAGGCTGGAAGGGGCTTGACAAATGTTTGGACGTGGGGGAAGAAAAGGGCGGCCTTGCCATCTTGGGATTGGGATGCAGGGGACACAAGGGACGCTGGCAGGCAGCATGGCCTGGGTCAAACCCCTCACTCTCTGAGCCTTAGTGTCCCTGTCCCTGTGCCTCGAAGGGGCTCTAAACAGCTGATTGAGCAGTCTCTGTTCAGTGACATGTAAACTGGGATGGTTCTGGGTTTCTTCCATGCACTGTTGTAATTTTTTCCTTTTTTGAACATTCACTGTTTTCACTTGGCCTCTGCTAAAATTCCCTTTCTTGTTCCTCAATGTCTTGCTTTCTGGTCACATTCCTAGTCCTCCATGGTTTAAAGCTTCCATCTCAAACTCAGTCTCTCCGGGCCTGAGCCTGGCGGCTGGGGCTGAGACTGAGATTTGAGCGTGGGCGTGGGGGGCCATGGCTGCCAGCTGCTCCTCCGTCTTGTCCTTGGGTGGACAGAAGAGGAGGCGGGAAAGGAGAAGGGGCATGCTACGTAGCTGCCCTTGTTGCTGTTGAGATGGAGCAGGGATCCTCTCCTAGGGACCCGATGAGCGCCCCCAAGCATGGAAATGAAGAAAAATTTGGAGTTCCTTCAAGAGCAATTTCAGGCACCCAGCCAGCCTGAGAAGTAAGTAAGTAATTTATGCCAGCGGGTGATGGTAGCCTTGAACAATAGCCAAGGAAGTTAGAGCCCTGCGTTGTTTGGTTCCCTACAGAAACTAAAGACAACATCTTAACACATGTCCCAGAGTTATCCTTCAGAAACCTAGGCGCCCTCGCACCGAGAGCCCCCATTGGACTCAGATACAGAGGAACTGAAGGCTGAATTGTGATCACCATTTTCTGTTCTAAATTTCTTCCGGAGGGGTAGGCTCATCGCTCGAGCAGAGACCACCAGGCAGGCTTTGTGTGGGCAACCAGGCCGTTTTATTTTGCTCTTGGGGGCATGCAGGCCAAGTCCGAGAAAGGAGTTAGGTGAGGGCGTAGGAACGGGGACTGTTACATAGGTTGGGGCAAATGGTCAGTTAAAGGTGGTCATCTATTTTAGGGAGGAGGAAGTCACAAGGGTAGGGGTCATCTATTACCAACAGGCATGGTCATAGGGTGGGGGTTATCGGTTATAAGTAGAGGGGAGGGTGCAGTAAATTATATAGTGCAGGGGTGGGGGTCTTGAGAAACCTAATGCCGAGGGGGAAATTTCATAAGGCTGAGCAGGAACAGTGGTCGAATGTTGCAGGGGGAGAGCAGTCAGTTGAGGCAGGAACCAGTGATTTTGCTTCTCTTTGTGGCCATCTGGTTACTTCAGACTTTCTGGCTCCTGGAGGCCATCAGGAAGTGTACGTGCAGGTCACCAAGGCTATAATGGCCAGGCTTGGACTTGGAGGCCTGACAAGTGGCATGGAGGGAGTCACATTCCCAACCAGGTAATACTTTTTTCTACTGATCTCAAAATTTTAAACAGAGCTTCTCTTCCTTACCCAACTGCAAATCTGAATCCGGCTGTTAACCACATTTTCCTTACCACCACCACTTCAGGACATCCCGCTCCTTCAGGCCAAAACCTATGTGTCACCTCCATGTATGTTTCCGAAGCTATCATGGAGGTCGGTCAGGATTTCAGCATTAGCTGCCTGGTCCTTCCTGCTTGATGCCCTTGCAAATAAATGCCTTCCTTTCTATTGCTGCAGAAACCTCAGTGTGGATATCTGGTTTTATTGCACCAGGTGAATGGACCCCAGTTTGGTTCCATTACATTGTCTCCCTCTATCCCTCGTTGGTGACCTCCACATAGCCGGTGCCTAAAGCTGGTTCACCTGTGGGGCATCTGTGTAGTTTTCAGAGCGCCTGTGGGGTCTTGTCCAGACTGGGAGGTTCTGCCTCAACTCCCCACCTTCTTCACTGCATTCCTGCCCCCGGCCTTGGGCTGCTGGGCTCTTCTCCCCAAGCTGGCCCAGGAACAGGAGAGATGGTCCAAGCCCAGCTGCCTTCCACTACCTCCTCTCCTGCCTTTACTGCACCATGGAGAGGCGACAGGCCAGTCTTTGGCCACCCTCTCTCTGCTCTGCTGTTGCTCTTTCTCGGTGGAGACTAGACCCCAGCCCGCATTTGTTCACATGCCACATCTTGTGCCCTGGCACAGGGCTGCGTAGAGCAGAAAAGCATCATGAAGGGCAACACCTGCATCACTCCCCACTGGGCAGAAGCCTCACAACTCCAGTAATCTTCCTTCACAGCCTCCTTCAACAGCTGGAGGGGCGGTGGTGAGGGGTGGTCAGAGGACAGAGTCTTCCACCTCGAGTCACCCATGAGGACGGGTCTGCTCCCAGCTCTCGGATCTTGTCTTTACAACGAGTGCCAATTAATTCCCAAGTCTGAGTCCTGCTCATTGATTCAGGACATCACTCCCACTTCCGCCCCTGTTTCTGGGAATGACAAGCCTGGCTACAGGGTGACTGAGACCACTAGGTGTGGACTACACACTCATGTCTAGCTCTTACTGTTATCTCTGGGTCTCGGCTTTCTCTTTTGACTTCTCTTTTGGAGCTCTCGGTTGAGACGCTCGGTGAGTGTGGACTTTTAAGGTGAACTCTGAGCTGACCAACACTGGCCAGTTGATTTCTTGGGTACCATGCAGTCACAAAAGCAGGTAATCAAAGAACACACAGTCCTGTGGTGTTTAGAGTCTCCCTTGACGACTGCTAAAGCCTCTGTTTGATTTCTTGCATGGCAACAAAACCTGGAGGGGAAGCTGAGTGGCACCTGAAGTAAACTTTGGGTGTGAGACGGGATTCAGGTCGTGGCTCATGTGCTGGAGGTACACACAGTTGTGACCATCAAGTATGCAAGAAGCCATCATTCTCCTGGCTCTCCTGGGTGCCATGTCAGGTGGGAACTCAGTTTTGCTTTGGAATGGCTTGCTTACTTGGTCTGCATAATACCATTGTATGACAATGTCCCCCAAAGAGGAAATTGCTCCTGGGAGGCTTGTTCAACTGAGGGCTTAGCTGCAATTATGAGTGAGGTTATGCAGCTCCAAGGAGCCCTGGGGGGACGGGTAGGAGCCCTGGAGAAGAGAGATGCTTAGAGAGCCTACTCTCGTGTATGTTGGTAGAGACTTCACTTTCCCTCTTGGGTTAACTGGCCTGCATTTGGTAGTCCTCCTGAGAGCTAAGGTTGGGAAAATAATTTTCATGGCAGAGTTTTGTGTGCACGTCAGGTCAGTCTTTGTGGAGATTCTGGCCAGGCAATTTGAGGTTGCCAAGTGATCCTGTGAGGAAACTGTTACTGAGGGGCTGTCTTCCTCTTGGACAAAGCAAACACCGTCTGACAGAGGGGCCAAAGACTCAATCTAGCCATCCTGTCACTCCCTCTTCCTCCTTCAAGGGCATCAGGAATCTTGGATGATCTTATGAATGTCAGGCTGGATTATTAAAATTGCACTTTAAAAATTAAACTTTATTTCTGACTAGGTAGTATATGCATAATGTATAGAATTTAATCATGTTAAATCTGCAGATTAATTTAGGGATAATTTACATCTTTGATGAGTTATATGGTAAAACACTTAGAAGAGTGTCTGAGTACACAGTAAATGCTTAGTAAATGTTAGTGAGTGTTATTGATCCTCTTGGGTCTTCCTAATCCAAGAACAGGTTTCTAGATACTTATTTGAGTCTTCATTTGTTTTCCTTAAGAGTATTTTGAGGTTTCCTTCATATAGATTTTGCACGTTCTGATTATAGTTATTTCTAGTTCTTTTACTTTTTCTTTTTTCACATTTGTAAATGGAATCTCTTCCTTCCTACATCTTTCAACCGAATGTTGTATGAGGTATGGAAATCTACTAACAAATTGTCTTATTATTTGGCATGATTTTTCAGGTGATTCTCATGAATTTCCCACGTTTGAAAAGAATGAACATTTATATTATTCCTCTCCTGTTTCTATAGCTCCTATTTTTTTCTTATCTAACGGCCAGGCCCGGACATTCTGATCATTTTAAAATAATGACAAGAGTATAAATTCCTGTCTTGTTCCCCATTAAGCATGATGTTAACTTTTGGTGTGGGAGAGAAATGTTTTACATGTTAAGGAGGTGGCTTTTATTCTTATTAATATAAGAATATTAGAGTATTTATTTCTAAATACACATACAATAAAAATATAAGAATATTAATTTCTAAACAGAAATGGATTTTTAAATGAAATGCTTTTTCAAGATCTATGAAAATGACCATTTAATTTCCTCTTCAATCTGCTAATAAGATAAATAAATAACTGGGTTTCCTAACATTGAGCCCTCTTCTATCTTGGACTCTTCAGCTAAGCAGAGGGCAGGGTATCCTGTGAATGTGAAGTGGGCCATGAGTAGTTCAGAGTGTCACTTGAAGTAAACATTTCAGATTTCCCCCAGAAACGTGGGCTTTTAGGGCCGTATCATTTGAGTTGAGGTGCCTTTTATTGTGATGGGGAAAGAGTGAGGTTAAGAAGAACCCAATTTCTTATACTGAACCCTATCATTTGGAACTTTATTACAAGTGTGAAAGGGACAGATCACAAAGGTTTGCAGGAAATACTTGAGATTTCTTATTTAAAACACACAGTAGACTCCCTTAGGTCAAATCTTATTTTTGGAAGGGCTGCTGTGATGCAAACTGTTTCTCTCTCACTGTCTTCTGTGAGTCTGGGAACCTGCTTATTATCCTCACACGCCAACACCTGTGTTACAGAGGATTCTAGTGGGGCAGCCACATCAGCACCCCTTCAGGGTGCTGGAAGCAGGTGTCACTATAGTAACTCAAATAAAGTAACATACAGTAAAAAAATTACCCGGGCATGATGGCGGGTGCCTGTAATCCCAGCTACTTGGGAGGCTGAGATGGGAGAATCGCTTGAACCTGGGAGGTGGAGGTCGCAGTGAGCCGAGATCGCACCATTGCATTCCAGCCTGGGTGACAGAGTGAGACTCCATCTCAAGTACAGGAATGTATGAGTAAGTGAATGAATGAATGAATGAAGTAACATACAGCATCCTCTTTCCTTTCATGTTCTAACTCTTATGCTTCCTTCAAGGCCCAACTCAAGCCCCACCCCTCTCATGGAGCATTCCTGGATTGACCTAGGAAACAGCATGGAGCTGTCCTTGGAGTCAGATGCCTGGGATTGGAAGGATCTTTCATGGAATTAGTCTCTCAGACCCAGGAATTATCAGTTATGATGAATTCAAGAAAATCAATGGGTATACTCCCAGCAAAGAAAATCAGGAGCTATCAATAGGCAATATTTGAGGAGTGTGGCTTCTCCACAGTCCCCAGCTCCCCAAAGGAGCTGCACTAAGGTTGGGAGCCACAGTGATCTCCCCACTCGGGGTGAGGCTATAGAGAGCCCTGCGTGGAGCTTAGCAAGCCCCTCCTACCTGAGCCCACACCACGCTCATACTCACACTCCAGCACAATTCTTCATGTTTTTCCCAAAACAGCCTCTTACAGATTGCATCATCCAGATCTAACATCCAGATTGAAGGTCAATTTCCTCCCAGCCCCCAGAGCCATGTTGTTGCAGTGTCCCAGGGTCACTGAATAACTGTGCTGCACCCTGTGTGCATGCTCATGTGACAGGCATAGAGTGACCGACTGTCTGCAGTAGGTATGTGTAGTCTGCTAGCTACAAGATCCAGATGCCATGAGCCAGGGCCCTCCATGACCACTCCCTTAGTGTATGATCTCAGATGTGCGCAATGGTGACAGCAATACCTCCATCGGAGGATTGTGCTGGGAGTGAGAGGCATCAGGGAGTCAAGGAGCTAGCACTGTGCCCGCTGAGCAGGTGCTTGGTAAATGCAGGTGGGTACTTATTTTAGTCTATTCATTTGGGCTAGGCACTACCTTACCCCAGGCTATCATTGAGAAAAACATAGCAAGTACTAACTTTGTCTGTTGCCTGGAGGGGCACAAGTCACTGGGGAGGGCTAGAGGGGGCAAGGGAAGAATCTGGGTGAGAGGGTGGGCATTCCATGAGACAGATTGCCAGTCTTCTATTTCCTATATGGCTGTCTTTGTCTTGCTAAACAGTGAGGAAACACTCTCATGAACAGCTCAGGGAGGTGCCCTGGTGACTTTCACTTGTGAGAAAAGAGAATGGGAGGGAATGATGCCCCAAATACCCAACCCATCAAAGCCGTAGATTGTTTTGCTCATTTTGAAAAACTATTTTTGAGAGCTTTGTCTTTAAATACTCCAACCATACTCTTTTGCTCCTGGTTTTTACCATAAGAATGCTATAATATTAAAGTCAATTTTAATAGATTTTTAAAAATCTATTCATATTCACCTCAACCTAAACTTTAGCTGTTTTGATATTTCTGAGTCCTTGCACAGTCCTTGTCCATAAAACTTGATAATTCTGCGAGCGACAATAACTTATGCATTATGCATTTTAGCCTCTAAACTAAATAAGATGACTTTAGATTTATAAAAGCTTGTATCAGTGAATGTGCTTAATATTTCAATTTTTTTCATTTCCATTTACTCCTCTGCACTCACCCCACCCCCCACCAACTGAAAGAAAACATCTTGGCTTGTTTGTTTCTAGAACATTTATACCTTTTAGCAGGACAGAGCTTTCTACTGTCCCTACCCACCCCCGTGCCTCCTACTTGTTCAGGGTTTTGTTCCCAGGGTCTGATAGTGGCCAAGATTGGGAAGCTGGCTGGGAAAAGGGACCTGTGTAAATCTTGGCTCTGTTATTTATTATTTGCTGCGTGGATTTCAGCTCAGTTTCCCCATCTGTAAAATGACATTAATACCTGTCTGGGAGAGGTGTTTGAGGAGTAAATGAAAGACAAGGTTTTACATTTTGTACCTATTTGTAACATTGGGCTGCTGTAACAAACTACCACAAATTGGGTACCTTGAAAACAACAGAAATTTATCCTCTCACAGCTCAGCAGACTAGAAGTCCGCAATCAAAGGGTTAGCAGGGTTGGTTTCTGCTAGGGCTCTGAGGGAACATCTGCCCCATGCCCACCTCCTAGCTTCTGCTGTTTGCTTTCCATTGCCAGGTTTGCAGTGGCATCACTCGTCTCTGCCACCATTAGATCATGGCCTTTTCCCCTCTGTGCGACTGTCCTGACTTCTTTTTTTCACATACCAGTCTTTTATTTCACTACCAGTCTTTGATTTCCATTAAGATATGAAAGGATTCAACAACGATGGAGACTGTGTTCCTTATGGAGGGGCTCAGGTCAAGATCGTGGGGGGAGAGCAGTGTGCCCTCTTCCTCAGTGGTACATGCGTAGCTGCGCGTGCTTGAGCTTCTTGTAGGAAACGGAGTAGCTGAAGATCACACAGCCTGCCAGCACCATGGTAACCCCTGAGAGGCTCCCCTTCTTCATGTTGCTGTGCTTGCTGCAGTACTGGTAGTAACCTCTTCAAAACACTTTGGCAATGCCACGAGAGCTGAAGTCTTGCATCAAGATCCAGCTTGGCGGCTCCCCTAGTTTGACTTCCAGAAGTTTCTTGTCCTTCACTGGTACAAGTGACGCCATCTTGGAGTCCTGGTGTCCGCTGTATGTGTCCTGTTTTCTTATGGGGACACTGGCCACTGGATTTAGGACCCACCCTCATCCAGTATGACTGCCTCTCAACTCATTGCACCCATGAAGACTATTTTCAAATAAGGTCATTCTTGGCTGGGCATGGTGTCTCACACCTATAATCCCAGCACTTTGGGAGGCTGAGGCAAGTGGATCACTTGAGGCTAGGAGTTCAAGTCCAGCCTGGCCACCATGATGAAACCCTGTCTGCCTCTAATCCCAGCTGCTTAGGAGGCTGAGGCATGAGAATCGCTTGAACCCGGGAGGCAGAGGTTGCAGTGAGCCAAGATCGCGCCAGCCTGAGCAACAGAGCAAGACTCTGTCTCAAAAAACCAAAACCGAAAACAAATAGGGTCATTCTGCAGTTCCGGGTGGGACACTGTTCAACCCACAACAATGACTATTACTATAGACGCATGAGAGAACACAGCTTGTTCCTTTTCTCTGCATTGGCAAAGTCTTGCACTGTCATAGAGACCTTAGAATGGTCCCAAGGCTTTCCTGGAAGAAATGTGTTTTCTCTTAAATATAAAATTCCCTGCCTGTAAGGCAGCCCAAGGCAATTCACATGCCATCACAAGCCTCTTGTTTCCTCCTTTATGGAATGGCTGTTAATCTACCAAACAAGACGTTTTGATGGTGCCTCTGCATGATGCCTACACAGTCCAGTAAAAACCACAAATTGTCCTTGAGATTGCTAATGGTTGTGGAGAGATTTACCATGATTTTGGTGTTCTAGAGAACATGCATACTCAATTCTCAGGTGACCTCTAGATTACTGACACAAAGAAGGAAAACAAACTCGTGTAAGCTACAGGGTCCTGACAAGAGAGAAGATGACGTTATCAGGAGAGGTCCTTTAGGTGGGTGTCTATCTCCTAAGGTGTCACATTTCTCCTCCGCTGCTCCTCCCAAAGGCTGGAAGAAAAGAGGAGGGAAGCAGGGAGAGAAGAGAAAAGCAGCAGCTTTATTTACCGAGTGACAGGAGCAGATTTCTTGGTTGTTTGGAAGTGGTTGTTTTCTTGGCTTCCAGGAGATCTCACATATCCATTGCCAGCACTTGGCAAGAGCGTTTGTTCTTGGGGAGTGACCAGCTCTCATCGTCACCCCGAGCCACTACATGAAGCCACAAACCAAGCTGTTAAGTGTCTGTTCCCAGCAAAAGGCTTTGTGTTCATGTCAGCCTGCACCCTTTTTGCTCCACAGGGGGAGAGGCGCAACACCTAATCTTCTTACCTGCTACAGGCGCCGTCGCAGAGAATTCTCCACCTGGGACTTTGGTGCACAACTTTTCTGTGAAATTAGCAGCATCACTGTCGCCTGTGATCCCAGGATTTCCCCTGATAATCAACTCTAATCCCCTCACAGAAGCCTTCAGGGTGAATTGGCTGACAGGCACTGACTTTGAGGTAAGCAGCAACTTACCATCGTGGGTGCTGTCTGCAAAGAGGTAATCCTGAAAATAAGGGTGGATGGGATTCCAGATCGGTGATAGATTCCTCTGTTCTGGTTTAATCTTCCCTCTTGTAAGACCCAGAATTCCTGTTTGAGGCATCCCAGGGCTTCTGTGCGAAGATGCCCATATAGCCTTCAGACCGTCTCCATTCCACACAGTTCACATAAGCATTATGCTCAATGTGTTGCAAACAGAAAGCTGCTTCTTATTGCCTCCACCCCGCACATGACATCAGACGTTAGGTGTGCCTACAGTATCTAAATTCTTTAGGTGGAACTGTTTGGATATTAATCTCCTTAAACGCCATGCTCTGGTGAACTTGTGTCTAGTGATTCTGCTTTCCTGTAAGTCTGATTGTTTCAGAGACAATCTAAGAGGAGATTTATTTAATAAGGAAGCTATATACCCTTTAATAAAAATATATGTCTAAATGTCCATCCCTACCATGTGAATGTTTCCTCTTGGATAATTCAGACCCAACCATTGACATTCAGGAGGCACGCCTCTGTGGCTCTGTTTTCTAGTTTGTCATTTGAATCTTTTCCAAAGTTGTCACTTCCCCAAAGCGGGTACAAGCCTGTTTCTTGCATGCTTGCCGCTGGTAACCGTAGAGGCCTTCGCAGGTGTCTTTAGGGTCCCAGTGGCAGGATCAGCCTATGCTTCAGTATTCCCTGTCCCTACCTCCTTCCTCAACTGGCCTGGGAACTTCCTGCTGCTATCATCAGCTCTGCCATTGGACCTGCCATTCCTCTGGGGTCCTTATGGGACCCAGTGGACTCAGGCCTGCTTGGCCTAGGCTTGGTTGCTTCTCTGAGATTCCCACTAGGTGTTCTTAAACCCAGCTCATCATTAGAGTCACTATGGGAGCTTTGACAAAGTGTGCACATTGGGGCCCTGTAGCAGACCTGCAGAACCCACGACTGGAGGCCGGAGCCCAGGCTCCTGGTGTTCTCATCACCCCAGGGGAGCCCTCGGGGAGGAGAGGAGCACACATTCAGTCTACGGTGCAGCATGTGGTTTACATTCCTGGGTCCCAGATGCTGGTTCTGTGACTTACCTGCTCTGTGCACTGACTCCCTAGACACCCAGTTTATCTTTAACAGCGGCTGCTGCTCCTCAGTTCCTGTAAGCCTTGTCAGTTGCTTACCCTTATAGAGCGCGTTGTGTACGCCGGGTACTGTTGACAGGTCTTTGCATGTGTTTGTTTTTCTAATCTCAAAAGCGTAAGGATTGTATCTATCTTATGACCTCCTTTTCACAGATGGGGAACATGAAGCACAGAGAGGTTATGTAATTTGCCCTGGATTGTACAGCTAGTAGGTACCTAAGCTGAGATTGGAAGCCAGGCAGTCTGGCTCCGGTGCTCTCATTTAAAAAAACAGCTTTATTGAGTATAATTCACAGAAGAATATAATCCAGGCACTTAAATTGTATAATTCAGTGGTTTTTGTATATTCACAGCCATGCAACTCATCACCACAGTCTAACTTTAGAATATTTTCATCACCCCAAAACAAAAAACCCTGTACCCATTAGCAGTCACTCACCTATTCCCTTATTCCCCCAACCCCTGGCAACCACTAATCTACGTCGTCCTTATGGATTTGCCTATTCTGGGCATTTCCTATGAATGGAATCATTGTAGTATGTGGTCTTTTAATGATTGACTTCTTTCACTTAGCGTAAAGTTTCAAGGGTCGCCCATGTTGTAGCCTGGATCACGACTTCATTGCTTTTTCTGGCTCAGTTATATTATATTCCACATTTGGTTTTTTCATTCATCAACTGACAGACATTTGGGTTGTTTCCACTTGGGAGTTCTCATTCTCAGCATTTATGGTCTACAGTCTTTAGTGATGATAATGACCATGCGCATTTGAATTTGCATACAGCCTCCAAGACACATTCACATACCTGATCTCTTTTTATTTTATCTTTTTGAGATGGGATCTCACTATGCTGCCCAGGCTAGACTTGAAGTCCTGGGCTCAAGTGATGCTATTGCCTCAGCCTCCCCAGTAACAGAGACTACAGGCACTGCACCATCGCAGTTTGATCTCTTGATTGTAACAACGAACATTAATATCATCACTATCTAGAAACTTTTATTCCCATTTCAGATATAACAGAAATGCAGCAAATTTAAATGATTTATCTGAAATCACGCAGCTGTGAAAGATGAAATAAGAACTTCATTCAGTCTCCTGATTCCCCAGTCCCAGGCTTTCTGTCACAGTGCCATGCACATCTATGACTGTTTGGGTGAGCTCTCAACTCTCTTCATGGGATCTGCTCTTCCCACATTCCATGGGATTCAAGCACGGCTGTTAATCAAGGAAGAATTCCATCTTGTTCATAACCTCTAGAAATGGCAGATTGCTCGGCCCCTCAACTAAGGTAGCTCAAGCGTCTGGCGTATTGTCCTAGTCCTGTGCCCTCCTCACACCACACCCTGCAGCTGCCTAGGACCCTATGTTGGTGCTAAGATGAGCCACAGTTTTACAAGTCATGAAGCTGTTCTTAAGAATTGATTCATTCTCCCCGGAAACTACACAACATCGTCTATCGTCCCTCCACGAAGATCCTACTCTCCACCCGAACTGCTCCCAAGAGTTGTCCTATGGCCTTCTAGGAGTGAAAATCTCTGTGGCAGAACCTGGTTCCTCCTTGGACAGCCTTGACGGTCTGGAGGATGACAAGTCTAGGTCACCATTTTGCCTTGTGACTCATTTATACTTTCTGAGGGTAAATTCCAAATCATGAAACAGGCCAAGCCTTCCTGCTTTGGGACACAGCTATTGAGACTTCTGGCGGGGCAGGGGGTGGTGAGGAGGAGTAATGATGATGATGAGGAGGATGCTAACATTTCCTTTACGGGGCACTTATCATATGCCAGGAATTTCCCTAAACACTTTGTGAATGCATTCATTTAACCCTCATAACAATGCTATGAACTGGCGTACTGTTATTTGCGCACTGAAGACAGGAAAACTGAGGCATAGAGAGGTTGAGCAACTTGCCTAAGTTCACACAGCTCGGAGGTGGCAGGCTTGGGATTTGCAATCAGGTGGCCCCAAGAATCCTTGTTCATTGCCCTCATGCTGCACTGGTTTGCTATTGCCCAGCAAGAGAGACGTCAGATCCTCATTCAGCCACTTGTAGCTGATCATGGGTCAAGGGTGTTCTCCTGGAGCGGCACCAGAAGCATACCTCGAGAGGCCAGGGAGGAGTGACTACCAGCCAGCTGCAGAGAGATGGGCTCTGTGAGGCCCTTTGGAGGCCAGCACCTGCCCCTCTTTCATTTGCCCATCTCTGAGCCTGACTCCCCTCTTTTCCCATCTACCATCGTGAGCACTGGGGACCTTCTCAGCCTTCTCCAGAACAACCTCCAATTGAACATGCCTAAAGCAAAACCTACTGTCTTTCACTAAAACTGTGTCTCAAGATTGCCCGCAACCAAATCCAGGCTCCACCACTCCCAGCTATGACCTTAGGAGAGCTCCTTCCCCTCCTCCCCTAGTTCATCTCCTTATACGTGAAATGGAGGAAGTTTTACCAACCTATGGTCATTGTGACAATTAAATTAAGTACTCCACAAAATGGCTCGACAAATCTGGCACATAAATGCTCGATAAACGCTGGTAACAACAACAACAACAACAACAACAAAACAGGTTTTTCATTTGTGTTGAGAGCAACCCCATTTTTTGGTTCCAAGATACAACATTTTTGGACCCTTTTTTGGCTGATCTATTTCCTTCCTCTAGGGTGTAAGAGCTACTCCCCAAGGAGAAGGGCTGGCAATAGGTAATACTGAGGTCAAGGATCTATCCAAGCTCGGCGTGCGGGAGCACGTTCCAGGCTTAGCAGGGAGCCAGGGTGTAAATCAGGAAGCCAGGGTGTAAATCGAGAGCAGATCATCTCAACAGAAGTCCACTTGATCTGGTGAACATACATTCCTTGAACAGTTTTTGACTACCTAGTGATTAGAAAAGTCACCATTCGTGGAGTGTTTGCTCAGTGCCAGACAGTCTTCTAAGTACTTCCCATAGATTAGCTCATTGAATCCTCCCGACAACCCCTAAAGTAGGTGTTATTATCCCCATTTTACAGATGGGAGAACTGAGGCACAGGAAGGTTAAGCAATAGGAAGGCTGGGCCTTGAAGCCCGTCAGTCCAGCTCCAGCGTCTGTGTGTTTGACCCATGTGCTGCCCCTCACTACCATGTGCCCTGCAAAGAGACCAGTTCTTCTCCACTTACGTGGCTCCAGGCTGCCTCTGTTCACCAGTAGACACAAAAATACCTCTCCTCCCACCTCAACCACCCTCCGTACCCTCTCCCTTCACCACAAGTACTCATTCTCATCTGTGGCCCTGTTCTCTTAACCAACCTAGAACCTGCAGCGTCCAACACAATACCTACCAACTCCTCCATGGAGCCTTCCCCAACTAAACACAGCTCACGCTGAACGTTTCCCCCTTCACTGTCCATAGTGCCTTGATCTAGCTGTTTAATACCTTGTATCATTCTTCATTTGTTTAATGCAATGATTATTTCCCTAGTTACAATCACATGGAAACACAATCAGGGAAAGGAGAGGTGATTTTCCCAAGGCCACCCAGAAGTTCAGTGGTAGAAATGGAATTGCAGCCAAGTTCTGTCTTCACTGCAAGATGCTGAATGTCTCATCACCTGGCCCCAGTCATATTAATAACCAAAAGGTTCTATTGGCATAACTAAAGACATACATGGAATTTAGTCCTTGATGTCCCAAAGGGCTCCAAGCTTTCTGGGAGTTCAAGGCACAAACTGGCGGGGGTCTGTGCCTATAGCTATGAGCAGTCACAGGCTGGTCTTTAGTTGGCTTCAGTGGGACCCTCCCAACGCGGACCACCAGGGTGCCTGCTGGCAACAGCTCTAGATTCTGGTGCTGTCTCTCTGGCCCTGGCTCCTGGCATCCCTCCCACATCTCCAAAACACTGACCGTGCAGACAACAAAAGCTCCTGACAATGGAAGACTGTGTGGAAAGGCACAGAGTGAACAGCCTGATGATTAAGTAAATATCATTGTTTATGCAGATGTATCCTTCGTCTCTTGTTTATTTTTGGATGTGGTTTTGGGAAAATTAGAATGAAGTGATGAGTCAAGATATAACTTAATGGAATCCCAGGAAAGCGCAGCATTCTTTCTTAACAATGAGGAAATCCAACTACATTCAGGGTAAAGGATTTTTATAGGAACCTACCCCCAAGTAGTGGAGGGTTTTTTGTTTGTGTTTTGTTTTTCATTCTCAGGCTTTCTGTCCCCAGTCAATTACATCAGAATGTCTCCTGAATATTTTTCTTTTCTTGGAAATGCAGCATCACATGCAGGAGTCCCTTTGGTGAAGTGTTACAGGGCTTATGTAGGAAGGACTCAGGCAAAACAATGGTTCCTCTGACAGTGAATGAATGCTGGTTTCTGGGGTGCCAGATGCTTCCTACCTAGGAATATCCCTTTGCAAAATGCATGCTTACAAAACGGATCCCTTTTCACATGGTGACTAAGAATTTCACATTTTGTTTTAGGTTGTCACCACTGGGATGGAACAACTAGATTTTGAAACAGGACCAAACATATTTGATTTGCAGATTTATGTGAAGGATGAGGTTGGTGTCACAGACCTGCAAGTCCTGACTGTTCAGGTAACAGATGTGAACGAGCCACCTCGGTTTCAAGGCAACTTGGCGGAAGGTAGGCTACATCAGGATGTGCATGGCAACCCAGACGGTGGCATCAGGGAGGGCCCTGGGGGACAGAGAGAAACAGAAAAAGTAAATAAACAAGCAGCTGTTTCCCTGGAAAAGGCAGCTGCTTAATGAGCAGGGAATAAATGAAATGTCCTCCAGCTCAACACTCCCAGTAATAATGTCCAGCGGTATGCAGAGCCCTGAACAGGCATGGTTTCCCTCCGTCCCCTTCCAGACCCTGGGAGGAAACTGGAGCTCGGGGACCTCAAGTGGATCACTGTGGAGGAATCTGGCTGAGCCACCCCAGGCCATTCCTGTGCACTGCGGCCATTGGTGGCTTGTTCACTCTCCCCATGGACTCTGACTCCTTGATGGCAGTAGGTGTTTGCTATAGAATAGGGACAATGTAAAGGACCAGAGCACATGGTAACTAACATCTGACAGGATCTCCCCCAAGCTCTTGGTTTTGAGCACCATCCCGATACTGACCACTTTCAAGCCTGTCATTTCAGCCCAGGTGCTGCCCTGAGCTGTGGCTGTCCTAACCCAGATGTCCACCTTTCCCACCCAGCATCTCCACGTGGATGTTTAACAGACATCGCAAATTAACGTGCTTCTGAATCAAACTGCTGGCTTCCTCTCCACCCTCTGCGCCCACTCGAATCTGCTTCTCCCGTGTAGTTTTCGTTTTGGTTAGCAGCAACTCCACCGTTCTTGTTGCTTGGACCAAACCTTGAGTCATCCTTGACTCCTCTCTTTTACACTTGACGTGAAATCCATTAGGAAATCTTGCCAGCATCTAAATCTACCCAGAACCCGGCCCCTCCCTAGTGTCTGCACCACTACAGCCATGGTCCAAACCACTCACCCCATCTCACCTGGATTGTTGCAATGGCTGGCAGCTGGCCTTCTGGCCCCCCTGCAGTCTGTTTTCCAAACAGCAGCCAGAGGGATCCTATTAAAACGTCAGTTAAGGCACTCCTCTGCTTAAAACCCTGCAAGAGCTTCCTGTCTCACTCAGAGGGAGTCTCCTTAAGAGCCCATTACATCTATCAAGCTGCTTACATTCCTTACACTCCCACCCCTCCTTTCCCCTTTTCCCTGCTCTGTCCCTCCGACCCAGCCTCTGGACCCCTTACTGATCTGTGCACCTCAGGCATGGCCCTACATCAGCATTTTGCATTTGTTGATTCCTCTGCATCCCCTCCTATCTCCTGGCTCTTCCTCATTTCTTTAAGGCCAGGTGCAGTGGCTCATACCTGTAATCACAGGTAATCACAGCACTTTGGGAGGCCAAGGTGGGAGTATTGCTTAAGATCAGGAGTTCAAGACCAGCCTGGGCAGCACGGCGAAACCCCATCTCTACAAAAAATACAAAAATTAGCTAGGTGTGGTGGCAGGCACCTGTAGTTCCAACTACTCAGGGGGAAAGGAGGGAGGATCACTTGAACCTGGAAGGCTGAGGCTGCCGTGAGCTGTGTTTGTGCCACTGCACTCCAACCTGGTTGACAAAGCGAGATCCTATCTCAAAAAAAAAAATCTTGACAAGTGTCATGCCCTTCCCCACCACAGTGAAACTTCCATAGCCACTTTATTAAAATTATAACCCAACTCGCACTTCCTCCCTCAATTGTTCTTGTCATGTTTCTCACGAGTATACACAGGTTTTACTCAATTATGCTGCTATCGACATCTTTCCACGGAAATGGAAGTTGCATAGAGTGAGGTTCTGTTTTGCAAGCTGCTGTATCCCCAGTGTATAGATCAGTGTTTGGACATAGTACTCAATAGATATTTTTTTGAATGAAGCATGAGAGTGATAAGTGAATCAAAGCTGAAGCTCAGATGTAAGGGATCTGGATTTGAATTTTGATTATATCACTTACTAGCTAGGACAACTTCATCACTTCCCTGAGTCTCAGTGTTCTCATTTCAAAAGCACTAATTACATTAAAAGAATAAATACAATGCCTGCTTTCTATTAATAGAACTGTTATGAAGATGAAATAGAAAATGTATATTAAGTCCTCAGCATGGTGCCCCCAAAAGAGTGAGTTACTTTTTTTTCTTTTTGAGATGGCGTCTCACTGGCCCCAGGCTGGAGTGTAATGGCGCTATCACAGCTCACTGCAACGTCTGCCTCCCCGGTTCAAGAGATTCTCCTGCCTCAGGTTCCCAAGTAGCTGGGATTACAGGCGCCTGCCATGGTGCCCAGCTAATTTTGTCGTAGTTTTTAGTAGAGACGGGGTTTCAATATCTTGGCCAGAATGGTCTTGAACTCCTGACCTTGTGATCCGCCTGCCTCGGCCTCCTAAAATGCTGGGATTACAGGTGTGTCATGCCCACTGTGCCCAGCCTGTTACTTTTTTTATTGTCAGTTATCACACAGAAAAAAAAAAAAAAACGCCCGAGTGAAAGCTCCGTGGCCCCTTGGTCAGTGCCGGTATCGCCAGCTCCTCCATCCTCCTCCTTCACCAGGAAAAACTCTGAAACAGATGAAATCAATTTTTGGTTCCTCCCCTCAGCCTCTGTAGCCCTCCCCTAATTATTCTATCTCTTCTCTGTTCTGCCGTAAGTTCCCTCATTTCAGTAGCTCATTTCTGCAGAGTTGCCAAGTGTCCCTGAAGGGGTAGCTTAGCACAGTTGAGGAGGGATTTGCATATTAAAGTGGATCCGCACATGGGGATCCTCATGCTGCAGGTTCCTAGCTGGGTTTAATTCCCAGCTCTCTGCCCTATCACCTCCTTCTTCCCCATCTTAAACAGCATTACCCTGGGGCACCTCTCAACAGAGGACATGAATGAAGACTTGATAACAGCTTGGCCAACCCTAGCACTTTATGAATTCCCCTAAATGGACCCACTCAGCAAAGTTGGCCAGTGGCCTTGCTCATGGCTTTTTTTAATTGCATCATTTGTCCCACGATGCCAACACACTTGGTTCCTTTGGTTACGTACAGCTGCCCTGATTTTGGAATTCCCCATTTTTGCTTTACCTAATACGATGTTTCTTATTCCACTTTGGACACTGGTATAGGTCTACAACTCTACATAGTAGAAGGAGCAAACCCTGGATTCATTTACCAGGTTGAGGCCTTCGATCCAGAAGACACAGGCCAAAACATTCCCCTCAGTGTAAGTGTCCTTAGACGGAAGAGGTGCTTGTCCACGTTGGCTTAGACACAGGAACCTGCCGTCCTGAGTCTTGGCGGGTGGGTTTGGGCCATGGCCATCGGGGGAATATCCTGTCCACTTCCAAGCAGTGTATGCAGGATGGTTGGAATGAATGAAGGGGCTCTGGGACCAGACATTCTAGAGTGGATGTGTGGCTCTGTGTGATCTAGGACAAATTGGTTACCTCTGTAAGCTTCAGTTTCTTCATCTGTAAACCAAGAAGATCATAGCACCCACCACAGTAGAGAAGCTGTGAGCACGACATCGACACGCATGTAAAACCACTGAGCACAGTGCCTGCCGTGTCAAACTGCTCAATAGTTTAAAAATCTAAGCTGATAAAAACCAACTCTAGTATTTTAAAGTATAAAATGTACATCCCAAATCCAAGCATTTACATACCTTTCTCAAGAGATGAAGTCAAGCTGTTTAGGGTCAAGTTTTAAAAATTGAAACAGAGGCCAGATGCGGCGGCTCATGCCTGTAATCCAAAGAGGGGAGGACGGCTTGAGCCCAGGAGCTTGAGACCAGGCTGGGCAACATAGCAAGACGTCATCCCTACAAAAAATAAAAGAAATAGCTGGGCGTGGTGGTGCGCACCTGTAATTCTAGCTACTTGGGAGGCTGAGGTGGAGGGATTGTTTGAGCCTGGGAGTTTGAGACTGCAGTGAGCTATGATCACGCCACTAAACTCCAGCCTGGGCAATAGAGCAAGACCCTGTCTCTAAAAATAAAAAAATAAAAAATAAAGAGTCTCCAGAATTCTAGGTTGTAGAGCAGGAGATTGGGTCATGGGGAATTACCTCATGGTTCGGTCTGAGACAGCGGATATCTCTTCTCTCCCTTCTTAATCAGTTTTCTTAATGTAGCTACCAGTGGGGCAACTGTAACTACCAATCCTCAGGTGAAACCTCTTAGTTGGTCCCTGGGCATGGACACCTCAGCTCCTGGCTCTGCCTGCTAATGTGCCCTGTGCACACACTGCAGCTGAGCAGCCCAGGTTGGAGAGAAAAAAAAAAAAAAGCGAATCCCACCCGACTAACCTTGGAGCAGGAAACACTCCTGCCAACCCTGCTTTGCAGAGAAGAGAACACTTGAAATATGACACTCGGGGAACAGAACACCAGGAGGCTGTTTCTGCTGTTTGCTGCTTGATTTGCAGCTTCAATTGGACTACTTTTTCTAAAAGAAAGAAATGAGCCTTGGGAATACCAGGACGCATATATATAGTCTACAGATTCTGACGCAAAGCTGTTATAAAATTACTGGACACAACTTAAAGTAAGGGAATAGTCCGTTTTTATTAGAAGATTATCCTTCTGTGTAAAAAAAGAAAATCACCCATTTATTTATTAACTCATTCAGAATTCATGTTAATATTTGCATGAATAAATGAATGAATATGCAAACATTTAATGGGTGTCTACTATGTGTTAAGAGCAATACTAGGTGCTTGAAATGCCTACTTCTTAATAACATACTTCTCATACTAGTTAGGAATGTGTTTGTCTGCAAATAACAAAACTTGACCATGGTGGTGGCCATGGGAACTTTTTTCTTCTCTAAGAAGAAGTCTAGAGGCAGGCAGGCAGGAAGCTCAGCCCTGGTGCAGCTCCTGCCATCAGGAGCCGGGGCCCTTCCTACATTTCTACTTTTGTATCCAGAGCTTGCTTGTTGGCACTATCCTCTTTTCCTCACCTCATGATTGCAATATGGCTGCTGCACCTCCAGGCTTTACCTCTGAGTTCCATGCAGAAAGAAGGAAGAAGCAGGCAGGGAGGGATACAGGGTAGAATGGACAGGCCTGATCTGTCCCTTTTTTGTCAGGAAAACAAAAATTCTCCTGGAAGCCCTACCCAGAGGACTTCTGCCACAACTCAGCAGCCAGAACTCTGCCCTATGGCCACTTTAGCTTACCGATGACCAGCGATTCTGGATGCAGATAAGGTCAGAAACCCAGAGTATAGCAGCTCGCTTACATATTAAGTTCATTTCAACATTTTCAAAGAGCTATCTATGTGCCAGGCATTCTATTAAATCATTTGGAAACATGAGTAGGACACACTGATCTTAGGAAGTTTATCCTCTGAATGGGAGACATCCATGTGTAAGGGAGAAGAAGGAATAGCTTCTCCTTACTTGTCAAAAGGTTTACTGCTGACACTCCTACAACAAAAGACAGATTAACAAGAGAACAGTGTAACCAAAGTTTTACATGACACAGGAGGCTTCAGAAATGAGGACTCAAAGACCCCCAGGGGAAACTGTATGTTTATGCTGAGGTTCGAGGTAGAATCATAACTGGACAAAAAGGAGTATGATCTAAAGGTAATCAACAGGGGAATTTAGCAAGGCTCTGTTTGTTCAGATTCTTCTTGGTTTCTGGTTGCAGGGTGTGGAATCCCTCTGGAATCAGGGTCTCGTGACCTACTTTTAGGGGTGGTAGGTCAGAGAATTCCTTTATGATCGTGCTTCAGGGGAGAAAGTCAGAGTGGCCTTCCTCCTTCTGAGGTTTCTTCAATTGCCAAGACGCTGTATTTTGGGGTATTGTGCTCTGATCTCTGACAGAGGCATACATTAAATCATTAACATTCGACATGACAATTACCGTAAAGTTTGTATAAGATCCAGTGGGGGCAAAGTGGAAAGAATTTCAGTTGTGAAGACAAATCTATATTTGTTTTTAAGTCTCCACTTTAATGGAATAAGATCATGGGCCCTTTTAAAACACCTCAGACATCAGATAATTACCCTTTCAGAGGAAGGGGAGCTGCCCAGGTGGGAAGCAACTGCAGCAGGTGTTGCTCCCTTTAAAAAAAACGTAGTGCCATTAAGAGTGTTCTGAGAGCAGCTGCAGGACTTGTGGCTTCTGCAGTGAGCTGAGGAGTTGTTTGGGGAGGGGCTACTCAGAGTCGCAGCAGAAATTGTTAATGAAATATTTAACACCTGTGCTGCAACTAACAGCTGTACAGAAAGGCAGCCGCCAGCCTGCAGGAGCGGTGAACAGAATCTGGAAGAAAACTTTCTCAGATTAGAAAAAGGTAATAACAGTTTAGGATATAACATATGATGGCCTTTGTGCTTAGATGTTTTATTTGGGCTCTTGGGAGTACGAAGCAGAAGCAAACAACCTCTTTTGCTTCGTAAAAGTAGAAGGGAGGCGGTTTAATTTGCTACTGACCAGACCTGTTCTTCTCAACCCTGGCTGTAAATTGAAGCCACTGGGGGAACTTTAAAGAACACGGATGTCTGGGTCCCACCCTGTGAAAGTCTGACATGATTGGACTTGGACATGGTCTGGGCATCCGGACTATAAAGCCCCGAGGGAATCTAATGCATGCCCAGGTTTGAGAACTGCTGGTTTGCGATACCATCTCCCAAAATTTTTGAGCCCCTCTCTTGGAGTTTTCGAGTCTGAGTCTGCATTTCTGCATTGTCCTAGAACAATTTTGCATATTTGCCAAATACCTTAGGCTATTATTCTGGTCAAAAAGGCTGGGAACACTGGTTGGTTGGTTTGTTTATTTTTGAGACAGGGTCTTACCTCTATCATGCAGGCTAGCGTACACTGGTGCAATCACAGCTCATTGCAGCCTCCTTTCCTGGCTCAGGTGAATTGTCCATCTCAGCCTTTCAAGTAGCTGAAACTACAGGGGCCCCCCACCCTGCCCAGCTCATTGTTGTATCTTTTGTAGATAGGATTTTGCTATGTTGCCCAGGCTGGTCTCAAACTCCTGGAGTCAAGCCATTCACCTGCCTTGGCCTCCCAAAGTGCTAGGATTACAGATATGAGCCACTGCACCCAGCAGAAACACTGGTTTATAAGTGTTTTTCAGGTGTTTGGTGTTCTGGCATTAGAACATACTTAGGCTGATTTTAACCAAGCAGATTGCTGGACATTGCATGAGAATGCTGAGTTTGAATACAAACCTCTCCGGTGATTCTGATGTACTTAGAAAACCACTGGACTGAACGAAAAAGGACAGACTTTAACAAAACACCAAAGCAAATGACTGAAGCGACCTAGGCTTGGTTCGTGCCTGTCATCTTAACCTGGGGGGGCTCCATGAGTCATCTTGCTGGTGGCAGCAACTAGAGAATGAATAATGGATTTTAAAAAGTAGCTCTAGGATGCATTCTGAAACCTCAATTCCTTTAAAACGTCAAATCTTACAACTCTTCTCCAGCTTAATAAAGTGAAACTGTATCATGGTTAATGTAAAATAGGTACTAATCTGGAAGCCATTTATATTTGTCCCTCCTTTTTAGTGGAATTTAAAAAGCATGCGCTGGTACATTGTTTGGACCATCACTGTTCAATATTGGACCAGCTCTGTCCAACAGAGCTGTACTGTGAGCCAGAAATGAGTGCTGCATATGTAATTTTAAAAGTTATGTTCTAGCAGCCACATTAAAAGTAAAACAAAATAAGCGAAATTAATTTTAATAGCTTATTTAACTCAGTATATTCAAAATATTATTTCAAAATAGTCAACGTAAAATGACTAATAAGATATGTTGCATTTTCTTTCCAGACTCAGTGTTCAAACTTGGTGTACATTTTACACTCACAGATCATCTCCGCTCAGACCAGCCACGCCTCAGTGCTCACAGTCACACACACATAGGCTAGTGCCTACTGCACTGGCCAGGCACAGGCTTAGATCTAGCATTGGTTCCCCCTCCCTGGGCACCTTCTGTGTTGTGGTCGGCATGCAGGTAGAGCCGGGGCTCGGAGGTATGCATTAATAAGGGGCTCAGAACATAGAGAAGGATGATCTGCATGGGAATAATTATATTTACTGGCATTTCTCCTTCGGGTGCTCCCCCACCTCTCCACTTCCCGAAGGAGGCTCTTTGAGATCACCCTCCTCCCATTCAACTCCCACCCTGTCTCCTTTCCCCTCTGCTTGGAAATGGCCATCGTGACTGCGGAAGAGCCTCCTTGGAGACTCCCAGGT